CAACCATGCAGCGACAACTTTAACACACCCATATTAACACCTAAACAGAAAAGATTTAACACACATTCAAGTGAGCTTACCGATAGCCCGTCAAAATCAAAAGTCTCATTCCCCGCAGTGGATGTGTGCTGCTCATTCCGTCATGTCAGTCCCTTTCCACCAGCCAAATGACTGCGTTATATGCTCCCGCTGATTGAAGTGTGTGCGAGCTTCTGATTGCTCAATCTAATTCACCTGGTCGAGGGTGCGCCAGGGCGCGCACGCACAGTCACACGCGGCTGCCGATGCAGAGCGGGGCGGCACGCAGGTGAGACGGCATGCAGGAGGAGGCGGGCACACGGGAGACAGGCGCACCTTTGCCAGATCAGCGCGACACCTCCCACTCGATCTTTACGTGGCGGCGCCCGGAAAGATCGTACTCTCAGGTGGGCTGGTCTCTGACTTGATCCTCCCATGGTATGAGGACCACAAGGCGCCGGACGTCCCGATGCAGTATGATACTTGATCCAGGATCTGCGGCACCAGGTCTTGAGCTTCTCACAGAGATGCTGGAACTTGGGGAGACTCTCACATGAACATCTCGAACGACACCTCTGAAATCAGGATTTGCGCCGATGACTCTTGCAAGCCTGAACTGCCCTCTCAGTGCATTTTGGTCGCAGAGCCAAACTATGTCTCCAATGGTAACGTTCCTTTCAGCAGTATGCCACTTACTGCGAATGAACAGGTTCGGGCCAGCAAGTTGGCTCCAGGACTTCCAGAAGTTGTTTACTATCGTTTGTACTTCTTTGAGCCTCTTGAATGGGTAGGTGGTGTAGTCGACCAATCAGAATGTTTCTCTCTGTCCCTCTCTCTCAGGTTTGGGAGGCGGTCTGTCCTTATTTGGTCATACCTGCAGCTGAGCGTGCTCGGTTGTAGCTCTGCCCTCTCTCCTTCCTACTCTGCCTATTGTATTTTTAGATTTCTGAGTGGGATGGCGGTGTCCGGAATCATCCTGAATGGAGTCTCACTGAGTATCTGTCTACCTGTCTGTCTACCTGTCTACCTGTCTGTCTGTCTGTCTGTCTGTCTGTCTACCTGTCTGTCTGTCTACCTACCTCTCTACCTGTCTGACTGTCTACCTCTCTACCTGTCTGTCTACCTGTCTACTTTCTGTCTACCTGTCTGTCTGTCTGTGTGTCATTGTCTCTGTTGCTTTATTCTTCTGTGGAAACAAACTGATGGTGTGTCCTCTGAGGTTGATCAACCTGTCTGTCTCAGAGGTGGAGTGGATCCCGACCAAAGAGAGGACGTTAGTGGGCACGCTCACCTCCTTCTTCTTCACCTTTGGTCAGATGATCCTGGCGGGGCTCGCCTATTGGCTGAGAGATTGGAGGAAGCTCCAGCTGGTCGCCTGTGCCCCCCTGTTCCTATTCTTCACCTACTGCTGGTCAGTGTAGACATTCAAAACAAATGTCTTTAATGATCTGATTGGTCAGTTGGTTCTGATCTTTCTGTTCTCTGATTGGTCAGGTGGTTCTCAGAGTCAGCTCGTTGGCTGGTTCTGAACCGTCGGTCTGAGGAGGCGTTAAAGTGTCTCCACCGAGTCGCTCGAATCAACAGAAAGTCAGAGATAATTGACAAATTAACACTGGAGGTAACCTGTCTGACTGTCTGACTAACTGTCTGTCTGACTGCCTGTCTGACTACCTGTCTGACTGTCTCTCTGTCTGACTACCTGTCTGACTGTCTGACTGTCAATCTGTCTGTCCGACTGCCTGTCTGACTGTCTGACTAACTGTCTGTCTGACTACCTGTCTGACTGCCTGTCTGACTGTCTCTCTCTCTGTCTGACTGTCTCTCTGTCTGACTACCTGTCTGACTTTCTCTCTGTCTGTCTGACTACCTGTCTGACTGTCAATCTGTCTGTCTGACTTCCTTTCTGACTAGCTGTCTGACTACCTGTCTGACTGTCTGACTAGTGGTCTGACTGTCTGACTACCCGTCTGACTGTCTGACTACCTGTCTGACTGTCTCTCTGTCTGTCTGACTACCCGTCTGACTGTCTGACTGTCTGAATAGTGGTCTGACTGTCTGAGTGTCTGTCTGACTGTCAAGTTAACACTGGAGGTAACCTGTCTGACTAACTGTCTGTCTGACTGTCTCTCTTTCTGTCTGTCTACCCATCTGACTGTCTGACTATCTGTCTGACTGCCTGTCTGACTACCTGTCTACCTGGGGCAGCTGTGGCTCAGGAGGTAGAGCGGGGTGGCCATTAATCGGAAGTTCAGCGGTTCAATCCCTGGCTCCCCCTGGTTGCATGTCGAAGTGTCCTTGGGCAAGATACTGAACCCCGAATTGCCCCTGGTGGCTGTTTCGTTTGAGCACTTAGGCTCAGTGTATGACTGGTGAATGCAGATGTAGTGTAAAAAGCGCTTTGAGTGGTCGAAAAGGACGGAGAATACGGAGCATTTACATTTACCTGTCTGAATAGTGGTCTGACTACCTGTCTGACTGTCTCTCTGTCTTTCTGACTACCTGTCTAACTGTCTGACTACCTGTCTGACTGTCTGAGTGTCTCTCTGTCTGACTGACTGTCTGACTGTCTGTCTGTCTGTCTGACTACCCGTCTGACTGTCTGACTACCTGTCTGACTGTCTGCCTGACTACCTGACTACCTGTCTGACTGTTCTCTGTCTTTCTGACTACCTGTCTGACTGTCTGACTAGTGGTCTGACTGTCTGACTACCCGTCTGACTGTCAAGTTAACACTGGAGGTAACCTGTCTGACTAACTGTCTGTCTGACTGTCTCTCTTTCTGTCTGTCTACCCATCTGACTGTCTGACTGCCTTTCTGACTAGCTGTCTGACTGTCTGTCTGACTACCTGTCTGACTGTCTGTGTGACTACCTTTCTGACTGTCTGACTAACTGTCTGTCTGACTCTCTCTGTCTGTCTGACTACCCGTCTGACTGTCTGACTACCTATCTGACTGTCTGTCGGACTACCTGTCTGACTGTCTCTCTGTCTGTCTGACTGTCTGACTGTCTGTCTGACTATCCGTCTGACTGTCTGACTACCTGTCTGACTGTCTGACTAACTGTCTGTCTGACTACCTGTCTGACTGACTATCCGTCTGACTGTCTGACTACCTGTCTGACTGTCTGACTAACTGTCTGTCTGACTACCTGTCTCTCTGTCTGTCTACTTGTCTGACTGTCAATCTGTCTGTCTGACTACCTGTCTAACTAACTGTCTGTCTGACTATCCGTCTGACTGTCTGAATAGTGGTCTGACTGTCTGACTACCCGTCTGACTGTCAAGTTAACACTGGAGGTAACCTGTCTGACTAACTGTCTGTCTGACTGTCCGACTGTCTCTCTTTCTGTCTGTCTACCCATCTGACTGCCTTTCTGACTAGCTGTCTGACTGTCTGACTGTCAATCTGTCTGTCTGACTACCTGTCTGACTGTCTGACTAACTGTCTGTCTGACTACCTGTCTGACTGTCTGACTAACTGTCTGTCTGACTACCTGTCTGACTACCTGTCTACACAAAGTCTCCACTTTGTGTAGCTCGACCAAGCAATAAGTTGTTTGGCGTGATGTACTGGATGCGCTCTTCTCGGCTTTGGACTCTGGCGTCAATGGGTCTCTCATTGGCAAGATTAGCAGCTAGCTGGAGCACTGTCAGGAACTCACTGAAGGTAAGACCTTCTACATTGCCAAGGCTTTGGAGGGCTCTCTTGGTGACTCTGACAGCAGCTTCGGCGGCTCCGTTTCGGTGAGGTGAATCGGCCGGGAGGATTTTCCACATCCAGGTCGTCTCATTTTTGGCAGCATACTCTTCAAGTGACTCTTTGCTCTGTTGATTCAGGTAAGTGTACATCTCTTCTAGGACAGGTCTCGCTCCGACAAAGTTCGTACCAGGATCAGACCAGATTTTACGGGGATGGCCTCGGACAGCGGTGAATCTCTGGTAGGTAAGCAGGAAGCTCTCTGTTGATAGTGTGTTTGCCAGCTCGACATGAATGGCTCGGCTGGACATACAGCAAAACACGACGCCCCATACTTTCATGGTCACTCTCTTTTTGACATCATCCTTCACATGGTAAGGTCCAAACAGGTCAACGGACGTAAACTCGAATGGTGCAGCAGGACTAGACCTCTCATCAGGTAAGTTTCCCATTATTTGCTTGCAGGTTCTTGCTTTTGCTTTCTTGCAGACGATACACTTGTCAACGACTTTTTGGGCAATGACCCTTCCTCTGATGACCCACGCCTTTATCCTCATCCGCAGCAGGGTTCCCGCCACACCTTCATGTCCCTTACTGTGTGCTTCTCTGGCTAGCAGGGTAGATAACCAGGCTTGGAAAGGTAGGAGGGGAACAGCTCTGCGGTCTTCTTTGAAGGTCTGGATTCTCCCACCACAAACTAGAAGTCCACTTGTTTGGTCTCTGTAGACGACTAATCTGTCTGTTGTGGTGCCTGGGAAGTTGACGCCCTCTTGTGCTGCTAGGCAAAGGTCTCGAAACACGTCCCGTCTCTCTCTGACTGTAAGGATACCCGAGGATGGTACTGCCTCCCACTTTTCTTGGTCTCTGGTTTCGGCACTTAAGAACTTTTTAGCTGCTCTCCAGATCCAAGCCACAGTCCCAATCAGCCTTCTCAGGTTGCTGAAGCGCTTTCCATCGACTAGATGCCGGACTGCTGCTCCTGCTGGTGGTCTTTCATACTCTAGCTGGGCTGGATTTTGTGCCGTTTTCAGGCGACATCTGGAGAGTAGTGCTACGAATGTTTTTTTCTGGATCCTTGTGACTTTGTCCCGAGCTTGGGCTGCGACGTCTCTGGCGGATTTCTTTGGCCACTCATCGTCAGGAAGTTGGAGGAACTTTGGACCCGACTGCCACTCGGAGTCCTCAGTTAGGGCATCTGGACTGGCCCCTCTAGTGATGATATCTGCGATGTTTGCTGGCCCTGGAATCCACCACCAGTCTTGGACGTCGGTACTGCTCTGGATCTCACCAACGCGATTTGCGAAGAAAGTCTGGTAGCCATAACTCTCACGCTGTATTGCACCCAGGACTGTTTGACTGTCGACAAGATGATACCATTTCTTGACCTGGAGTCGGCAGTGTCTCTGGAAGTAGGTCTTGAGGCGGGCTGCGAAGACTGCTCCGCATATCTCAGCTTTTACAGGATCCCCTTTGTGGTCAAGGGGGGTCAGCTTGGATTTGGATTCGACCAGTCTCACAACGACACCACGGCTGCAACTCCAGCGAAGATACATCACTGCGCCATATGCGTGTTGGCTGCCATCAGAGAATGTGATTGCACTGGGCTCTGCGCAGAGATCTGGTGGAGTCAGGGATCTGGTGAAACGAAGTTGGCTCAGGTCAGCATATTCTTCCAATAGCTTTATAGCGTCTTCTCTGAGACCTTCAGACAAAGCAGCATCCCACGAGTCTTCTAGCCAGTATTTTACCTTGGCTTCTTGAAAAGCTCTCCTGACCAGGATGGCACCCTTTTGTTTGACAGGAGTCACAAGGCCGAGTGGGTCATACAGGCTAGAAACCTGGCTTAGCAGCTCTCGTCTGGTGAGTGGATCAGGTGTTTGATTTCTGACCTCCTGTCTGAGCAGGTTTTGACCAAGGCGCATCTTTCTCCTTTTCTTTGAGAAGTTAACTGCAACCATGACATGGAGTTTGTCGTCATTGATGGTGTAACCAAGGCCAAGGGCTTTGTTGTCGTCTTTTGTCAGCTGGTTTGGTAGGATCATAGTCTTTGGTATCTCATCCTTGGGTTCTTTCCTCCCACCTTGAATGGAGTAAACCCAGGGCTTTATGTGGAATCCTCCAGCTTTCAGGATGTGTTTGATGTTGGCTGTGAGGCATTTCAGATGGTCAAGGTCGTTATGTGAAGTCAGGATGTCGTCGACGTATACATCTTCTCCCAGCACGCGTCTCTCTTCCTTGAAGTGACTGAATGAAGGTAAGTTCGCAGTTTCTCGCATGGCGACTTGGGCTATGCAACCGGCAGGTTTGTCTCCGATGTTGACTCTTGTTATGGCAAAATCTTCTATTTCGGCATCTTCACTGTCACGCCACAGGAATCTGTGCAGGTGGACCTCTCGATCTTCCAGCCAGACAGAGTTGTACATCTTCCGGATGTCTCCAAGGGCAGCGTAGACACCAGTTCGGAACCTCAATAAGACAGCTCGGATTGGGTTCAGGACATCAGGACCTTTGATGAGGATGTCGTTCAGACTGAGACCTCTGCACTTTTGGCTGCTGTTCCACACTAGTCTGACTGGGGTGGAGACTGAGTGTGGGTTTAGTGCAATGAGATGACTTATGTACCACACTGGCCCGGTCCAACTCTGCAGAATGTCTTTGGACAGCTTCATTGCGGCCCTGCGGTTCACCATCTCATGGATCTGTGCAGCGTAGGCCGCCTTCCACTCAGGTTCTTTTGATAGCTGCTTCTCAGTTCTGAGGAATGTTGCCTCTACTGCTTTCCTGTTGTTTGGCAGGGTTGCTGGATCTTCTGTCCACGGATACTTAGCATGCCAGTGTGGTTCGGTGCTGTGTACATCTCCAGTCGTGTATGTCAAACCATTTCTTATGATCTCCATCTCCCTTTCTTCTGCAAGAGTTATCTCCTTTCCCCCTGGCTGGCAGTTCCCGCAGCGACACCCTCCACATC